TTCTTAGATATACTCTTGTATAGGAATCTCATAAGAAGCCATTTGATTTCTTTTAATTCAGTTTCTACTGAGTCCAGAGATCTAGGGGAAATTTAGACCCAATATATATTTAAGGATATATGTATACAAATGTAATTTACTGGTAGTTCTCTAGGGAGACTAAAGCAAGGGGAAATGCACAGGTTAAAATTCAGCCATTTTCTAAAACACTGAGAACCCATTCCTGTAATACAGAGATGAATAAAGATAGCTTTCTATTTCTGATTTTCCACCTAAATAGGGAAGGTTAATGACTAAGAACATTTTCCAGAGCAAAATTAGAATAGTAGTCTGTCTTTTCCTGTTCTAATCAGAAGAGATAGAACTACCTGTAATCTCTCCATCAGACCCCCTTCAAGCCCAAACTACAGGCTGCTAGACTTAGAAGTGTAATAAAAACAAAAAAAGACATGCACTCCCATAATAAGTTAGGTAATAACTACTTAATGAGAACAGAAAAATGCTTCTCAGAAATCCTGAGATTCCATCTCAAGAGCACTCACAGCTAAGTTCTAAGAAAACTGAAGATAAATTATTATACTGACTACCCTAACCCTTTCTCTGTGGTTGTCTTAAGAAGTTAATTGTCTACATATGAAACATAATATTGTCCCTCCCTGCCCTGAGACTTTTCTCATGTTATTAAGAGTAACATAAAATCCCACTTTTAGTGACTTACCCCTCTATTGTATGGGTATACTACAATGTAAGTCATTTCTTAAGGATGGACATTTTATCTTATCACAAATAATGGTGTGATGTGTGATATCCATCCCTATATGTAAATCCACGTCTGATTATTCTTTGAGATAGATTTTTAAATAGAATTATAAGGCATAATTTTTTCAAAGGCTCTGCTGCCTTCCAGAAAGACCACCAATTTACAGGTGTTTCCTGGCTCCCACCAGCCGGCCTGCCTCCAGCAACATGTGAGAGTGCTGCACCCATGGCAACATTAAGCATTCTCTCTTTTAAAAACTCTTTGCCAGACTGACTGGTAAGTTATTTTATTTCCAAATGTATACTGGCCACTGAAATTGACTTGTCTTGATGTCCTTTGCCCATTTTTCTATGCTATGTTAGCATTACTTACATGTATACTTTTCTTACATAAGTATGTTTTTTAAAAAGATTTATTTATTTATGCATACAAGAACTGGGTACAGCCCAGAAGTGCGGGGGGTAAGAGGATTCACCAGAGAGAATGGGGAGAACAGGCAGACTGAGTGAAATACACTGCTAAGGGGAACAGCAGGCGAGACAGGTGGTGATCCCTGGCTGGGGATCAAACTGGTACTGCAGTACCTGTGGATTGCTTCATAGTGCTGATGCTTAACCCCTTGTGCCCCCAGGGAGGCCAGGCACCTCTTACATATAAGTATGTTAACATCTCTGTGGCATACTGTGCAATACCCCTCCCCCAACTGTACTTCTTTGCACATTTGTTTTACTTTTTGTCTTATCAAGCTTATTTTCAGTTGATTTAGATTGGCATCTAAGCATTTTTCTTTAGGCTGATGATTATATCCAACATACAGTTGGTCCTCAAGGCATACCATTCTCACATGTTACTTAAAATCAGATTCAAAAGAAGCCGAGAAGTATTTTTAAGGATAAGATGAAATGGACCTCTGTTCATGGTATCCTACATTCACACAGGGCAGATAACAGAAAACAAGTCTCCCATGAGACTAGAGTCTGTAAGAGTTTACCTGTCATCAAAATACATATTCACCTGGGTGTTAGAACAGAAAACATTTTCTATGATGTGTCTACGATTAAAAAGCTAAGTTTTAATCAGTAGTAAGGCATTATTTATATTAAAAAGCTAATTTTGAATTGCCAGTTAAAATTTTAGGAAGGACTTATTTTGGGGACAAGGAGGACACGGACTCAGTGTAATCACTGAGTGGCAAAATCAATACTAATAAAAGTCTAGATTTATAATTTATATTAAAAAAACCTTTTAGGTAGTCAATACTTCCCTCTTGGTCAATAAGTCACATAACTATTCATCTGTTTTGAAGAGTGCTAAATTTCTTTTTATTTTTTTCTTTTTAAAGATTTATTTTTATTTATTATGCACAAGAGCTGGGGTGTAGGCCGGGGTGGGGGGCTGGGGGGAGGGTAAGAGGATTCACCAGAGAAAGAGTGGGGAGCAGAACAGGCAGATGTACTGAAATACACTGCTGAGGGGAGCAGCAGGCACGACAGGAGAGGTTTGCTTCACCATGTGGGTCAGCTCCCTGGCCAGGGATTGAACTTGGGCTGCAGTGGCTGGCGATAGCTTCACAGTGCTGACACTTAACACCTTGTGCCACCAGGGAGGCCCAGGGCTAAATTTCTAAGCAAAGATAAAACTAATCAGTGATGAAAATAGTGTGCCTGTGATGTCATTCTCAAAGGATGGCCCTGCTTACTTGCCCCTGTCACTTTCTCTTTTTTTAAATAAAGGAAACATTCTTTCTTTTAGCAATAAAGTCCTAGGCTAGGATATCCAACACTTGCTAATTCCCTCTGGCTCTTAATTCTAGCAAGTGGTTCCACGGATAAGTCTGACTGAAAGTTTAAGTGCTACTTTTATAATTACAAGAGCAGACTGAGAGCCTAATTATAATTCTCTGCAACTGAACTTGTATTACGAACAAACAGGTATTACTTCCAAATTACCAGCCTCAAACAATGAGGCTCAAGCTACTAAGACAATATTCTTATCTCAGGGAATGACAGCCATGGGTTTGCTATCCCCGAGAGCTGACAAAGGCATTCGGTACTAAAAAGCATCATTATGACTCTGGGTTGCTTCCTTTTAGGTTAACCAGTTCTTCCTCATGTTGCTCAATTGTTACAGAACCATTGTATTACATTTAAGTGCCCTCAAAAGGGTAGTACTATTACAAATCCAAATTAAAAGCTCAGGTAACACTACTTCTGAAGAACTATAATATTCATTTCTGATGGCAAAATAGCAAAGTCTAGTAAGGCAAGATGGCACTATGAAATTGTGAGATCACTCTAATATAAAAAGGGAAAGACCATCAGGGATAAGTCAACCCCAGAAGCTATACCCGTTGATAACTGGGCAGTCTTACCCTTGACATGAAATATTGATCTGGGCCCCCCTGGTGGCCTAGGAGTTAAGTCTCAGCACTATCACCGCGATGGCCTGAGTTCGATCCCCAGCCAGAGAGGTGACCCACATAAGGCACAGAAGACCTCTCCTGTCTTGCTCACTGCTCCCCTCAGCAGTGCATTTCAGTAAATCCGCCTGTTCTGCTCCCCACTCTGTCTCTGGTGAATTCTCTCACCACCACCCTCAACCCACACCTCTGACCTATATACCCAAGCTCTTCTATGCAAAAACAAATAAATAAATATTGCTCCTTTAAAAAAAAAAAAAAGATTTATTTATTTATTTATACAAGCACTGGGTATAGTCAGAAGTGCAGGACGGTGAGAGAATTCACCAGAGCCAGAGCGGGGAGCAGAGGAGCCAGAAGGACCGAAGTACACTGCTGAGGGGGGCAGTGGGCGGCAGGAGAGGTCTACGCGCCATGCGGGACCCTCTTCTGGTGGCCGGGGAGCAGCCGGGGATCGAACTGGCGCCTCAGAGGCTTTGGGCAGCTTCGCAACCCAGCGCTCAAGCGCTGCACCACTGGGGAGGCCCAATATTGCTCCTTTTGCCATTTTTAGTTCTAGAAAGAAATGAGTGAAGTGGGGTGAGTTTTCTATTGCTACTGTGACAAATTATCACCAATTTAACAGATTAAACCATTTAAAATTTAAATTTAAAACTTAAATTTTATAAATGTATTACAGTTCTAAAGATGCAAACACAGGTCTCAATGGACTTTAAAGTTAAAGTGTCATCAGTTCCTTTTTTGAAGTCTAGGGCGGAATCCATTTTCTTGCTCTTTTTAGCTTCTAGAAGTTGCCCACATTCCTTGACTCACTGCCCACTTCCTACATCCTCAAACCCAACAATGTTACATTTCACTGTACAGCTCTTCTAAGAGCAGACATCTTCAGAAGTCACTCTTTAACTCTCTCCCCCATTTCTAAAGGATTCTTGTAAATGACACTGGGCCCACTAAGTTAATTCAGGATAATTTCCCCACCATTTAAAGTCCCTGACTAGCAAACTTAATTCCATCTTCAACCATAACCCCTCTTTGCTTTACAGGTTTGGGGATTAGGAAGCTATCTGGGGTAGTGAAGAGAGGGGGATTATTTTGCCTACCAAAGTCTTTGACTTCTCTCCCACACTATGTTTCCAAAATGGCACAGATGCACTAAGAGCTGCTATTCTTTTTATTTTTTAAAGATTTATTTATTTATACAAGAACTGGGGTACAGGTCAGAGGTGCGGGAGGGTGAAAGAATTCACCAGAGGGAGCGGGGAGCAGAACAGGCAGACGGACCGAAGACACTGTTGAGGGGGGACCGAAGACACTGTTGAGGGGAGCAGCGGGTGAGGCAGGAGAGGTCTGCCACGCCATGTGGGTTTCTCCCTGGCCAGCTGGGAATTGAACCTGCGCTGCAGAGGCTGCAGACAGCTTCACAATGTAGCACTCAACGCACTGCACCACCGGGGAGGCCTGAGCTACTATTCTTGAAAGGACTCAGTGTCCATTGGATTTGAGAATAGGATACATCTTACCTAACAAACTGGGTGATTATATGATTAACCAAAGATTTCACACTAGTAGCCCCTCCCATAGATTACGGACTTAAGAGTAAAGGGTCCTGGATCGGCCGCCGCCCGGGGCCACACGGCGCGCGGTTCGCTTCCGGGTCCGGGCGGGCCGGCGCGGAGGCTGCCGGGAGTGGGGCCGCCATGGCGTCCGTGTGAGCTCGGCGGTTGCAGCGTCGGACTTCGGCCAGCGGAGCGGCCCGTCAGCCCCGGCCCCCCGAAACGCAGCCGCCAGCGGCCCGTGCGAGGCCCCAGAGCCAGGTGCTGCGGGAGCTCCTGCCGTAGCCGCGCCCCAGGACCCCGGCCGCGTCGCTGAGGCCTGAGGATGACGACCGCGGCGAGGCCGACCTTCGAGCCTGCGAGAGGGGGTCGCGGGAAAGGCGAAGGGGACTTGAGCCAGCTCTCCAAGCAGTACTCCAGCCGCGACCTGCCTTCCCACACGAAGATAAAATACCGACAAACCACTCAGGATGCCCCTGAGGAGGTTCGCAACCGTGACTTCAGGAGGGAGCTGGAGGAGAGAGAGCGAGTCGCGGCACGAGAGAAAAACAGAGATCGGCCAACTCGGGAACATACAACCGCCTCTTCAGTGTCAAAGAAGCCTCGGTTAGACCAGATTCCCGCTGCAAACCTCGACGCGGACGACCCTCTGACAGATGAGGAAGATGAGGACGAGGATTTTGAGGACGAGGGTGATGACGACGACACTGCGGCCCTCCTCGCGGAGCTGGAGAAGATCAAAAAGGAGAGGGCGGAGGAGCAGGCCAGGAAGGAGCAAGAACAAAAAGCTGAAGAAGAAAGGATTCGAATGGAAAATATCCTCAGTGGAAACCCGCTCCTGAATCTGACCGGGCCAGCCCAGCGGCTGGCCAACTTCAAGGTCAAAAGAAGGTGGGACGACGACGTGGTGTTCAAGAACTGCGCCAAGGGCGCCGACGACCAGAAGAAGGACAAGCGGTTCGTGAACGACACGCTGCGCTCCGAGTTCCACAAGAAGTTCATGGAGAAGTACATTAAATAGCGCAGTTTTATGTGCTTGACGCAAGACTGAATCGGAGCCCTTCCCCGTTTCACGGGGCGACGCGTCTCCCCGCCCCCGTCGTGCCACCCCCTCGCCGTCCCCCGCCTGCCCCCGGCGGTCTGTCCCCGTGTCCACCCTCTGCGTGTTTCTGGTCGTGTCCCTCGCACCGGGAGGGTCTGCTCGTAATAAAGCTCTAGTGACCGGCCAAAAAAAAAAAAAAAAAAAAAGAGTAAAGGGTCCTAGTACTGGTGAGGGGGGAGGGCCTATGGGTAAATCTATGAACTTGGATGGGAATAAAATTTCAATTTAATTTTCATTAACTCCTAATTGCAATTCAGCATTTTAATCAATTATAAAGATTACAATTTCATTTTCATTAACCTCTAACTGAAATTCAGCCTCTCTTATTCAATTATAAAGAGAGATTATATCGAATTTTCTAGTGTAATTTCTCTATGAAACTTTTTGGGTTTCAAACTAATATAACTTAGAATGGCCAAGAAAACTGCAGAAGGATCTGAGAACTAGTGGGTGCCTTAACTCCTAAGTTGACAAAACAAACCCAGTTCAAATCTGCTCTGAAAGCAGAAGAAGCCCCAGCTGTCCATTTGACTTAAATAAGCCAGAAAAAGTTGAGCAACAGGCTTTGCCTGAAAATGAGATACTTATGGCTACTTGCTCTAGTAACTATAAGCCATTCATGATTTATTTATGCTAAGTTACTCAAGAAGTTTTGAGAACCAAGGGACAGAAATTAGAGTGTTCTTTTTCCTCTCTCCCCCACCAATCTAACAAATCATACATGGCTATCTTAACACCCAAGTAAATAAAGGGGCAATAAGTCCCTACAGAAACCACAAGTCTGACAGCAACCTATGTTGCTTCTCTTATATGTGCCAAACTTGAATTTTAAATACATTTTAAGTTTGGTTCTTTTTAGTCATCTTTAAAAGACTTTTCTCATTTTCTTTCCTCCAGAAGTGCTTTGTAACTACTTTTATTAGTTTTTCCTCCATAACTTTGAAAGCCAGTTAACTGCTAGTACAATTCTATGACTGAGAAGTCAAAGAAAATCCAAATTTATGAGAAATACTGGTTTATAATTTGAACAGAGCATTAAATTGAATCTTTGGACCTAATACACATTCCTGACTTTTCCAAAAATCTTTTATAAGACCTGTGTGAAAATGTGGAATTTCAACCTCTGATTGTTTAACCAGATGTGATGATCATATGATGTGATCTTAGCTTCAAAAACAAGTGTTTGACAGGGGTGGGAACAGCACAAGGGATATGGTGAGGGTACACAGGTGAATTGATGGTGGGAATTTCACCAGGACTATAATCAAGATGAGAAAGCCTGTGTTGTACAAAAATGAAGAACGATGTAAAAAATATAAAAAATAAATAAAAAATAGAATCACACCAAAAAAAGTGTTTGAGACAATATAAAGGAAATACTACACACAACAGAGACATTTACCCATGATTATCTACTAATACTAGCTGTAAATGACTACACCTTTAACTAAAGAAACTAAGCAACAAAGCTTTGTTTAAAAAGACTGTCATGTAGATTAACACTTTCAGAAGACTAGTTAAGAACAGAGAACGGTTAGTATCAAGAAACTTACTGAGAACACAGTACACTAAGCATTTTTCATAACAGGAACTAAAATACTAGCCAGCTAAACTATCCATCTCATAGGCGCTATAATAAAACTTCTAAATTCTGTCAGATCTAAAGATAATGTCCTTATAAAGTTGTCTTAAAAGAGAGCTCAGGTGGAATTGTAAAATGGCATAACCACTATGGAAGACAGTATCGAGGTTCCTCAAAAAATAGAAAATTCTTTTCATGAAGATGGCACCGAAAATAAGAAAGCTCCTGCCCCTCCCAAAGCCAAAGCCACAGCAAAGGTTTTGAAGATCAAGAAAATAATGTTAAAGGCATCCACAAGTACAAGAGTAAGATCCTCAAGTGACCCACCTTTTGGAGGCCTAAGACACTGTGGCTCTGGAGGCAACCCAAATACCCTAGGAAAGGCACTCCAAGGAGAAACAAGCTTGACCACTATACCATCATCAAGTTCCCCCTGACCACCAAGTCAGCCAAGAAGACAGAAGACAATAACACACTTGTGTTCATGGTGGATGTCAAGGTCAACAAGCACCAGATCAAGCAAGCTGTGAAAAACTCTATGACACTGAAGTGGCTGTCAACACCCTGAAGAGACCTAATGGAGAGAAGGCATATGTTTGACTGGCTCCCCACTATGATACCAACAAAATTAGGATCATCTAAACTGAGCCAAGCTAGGTAACTCTAAATATAAACTTTTTCACTATTAAAAATATAATCATCATATAATCCAGCAACCCCACTTCTCAGATATGTATCCAAAAGGACTGAAAGCAGAATCTCAAGGAAATAAATGCACACCTATTTTTATATGAGCACTATTCACTAGATCAAGAGGTAGAAGCAACCCAAGTGTCCATCAAGGGATGAATGATAAACAAAAAATGTGCTACATACACACTTGATGAAATGTTATAAAGCCGCCTTAAAATAGGAAGGCTATTCTGACATATGACAGAACATGGATGAACCTTTAGAACATTATGCTAAGTAAAATAAGTCAGTCACAAAAAAGAAAAACACTTCATGATTTCACTTATATGAGGTTATCTAAAGTGGCCAAATTCATAGAAACTAAGTAGAATTGTGGTTACCAGGAGCTAGGGAATGGGAAAAGGAAATTATTTAAAGGACACAGAATTTCAGAATTCCAAGATAAAAAAGTTCTGGCGATATTTCACAAAAATGTGAACACACTTAACAGTACTGAACTGTATACAATTAAAAATAGCAAGATGGTAAATTTTGTGTTTTTACCATAATGAAAAGAAAAAGCTGATTGTTCCCCCTCAGGATATATGTTATATTGACCACAGATGTGTAAGACTAGATTCTAAAAATACCATACATGCTCTTTCCTATCTGAATGTTAATAACTTATGTTTATGTAATTCTCTATAGCCTATCCTGTCAATCAGAAGCCAATTACTATCCAAGACTTATGAATGCCAATAAAAGTTAGTGTTCTCAACCTTTAAACCCCAGTGGGAATACAAAAATAATTCATATATATATATATTTTTTTTTTAAAAGATTTAATTATACAAGAACTAGAGTACAGGTCAGAGGCGCGGGAGGGTGAGAGAATTCACCAGAGACAGAGCAGGGAGCAGAACAGGCAGACGGACCGAAAACACTGCTGAGGGGAGCAGCAGGCCAGGCAGGAGACATCGGCCACGCCATGCGGGTATCTCCCTGGCCCGCCAGGAATTGAACCTGCTCTGCAGAGGCTGCGAACAGCTTCCAGGGAGGCCCACAAAAATAATTCTTGATTAAGCAAAGACTAATTATTCATATGATTTTTTTATGTCTTTTGCTATTCCTTTTTTTATCCTATATTTTTTCCTGGTCATTTCTCTAATTAATAGGTTTTCAAATCAAGAAGAAGAGTAATGGGGAAAATCAAAAGAAAAAATTACCAGATTTGGTCAAAATCACTCATCTATGTTTTCCTCCTCAGCATGAGAAAGCCTCCCCCAGTTTTCCCCTTTTATATAGAAGGCAAATCTGGTAGTGGTGCCAGCACACTGCAAAAAAGAGATGAGCATATAAGAACTGCTGGGAAAGCAAACAAAGAAATTGTTTCAATTTTATCTTTCAGGTTTAGAAGTACACAAATAAGATCAGTGATGTTAAATGAAGTATAAAAATATATGTAATTTTTTTAGAAAGATTTATTTATTTATATAAGAGCTGGGGTACAGGCCAGAGGCGCGGGCAGGTGAGAGAATTCACCAGAGACAGAGCAGGGAGCAGAACAGTCAGAAGGACGGAAACACACTGCTGAGGGGAGCAGCCCGTGAGACAGGAGAGGTCTACCAGGCCATGTGGGAATCTCCCTGGTCAGCCAGGAATGGAACTGGCGCTGTGGACAGCTTCACAGCGCTGCACTCAACCCGCTGCGCCACCGGGGAGGCCCAAAAATATACATAATTTATAGTTGTTTTAACATGATAATTTTAAGAATTAGGAAAAACAAAGAATGGCTCCAATTTAGACTCTCATTTTGCTAAGGGAAAAATAAATGCTGTCCCAGAACAAAGAAAGTTTTAACTGATACATATTTGGATTCAGGTCCACATCAAGATTCAGGTAATACAGATTCAGGTAATATATTTAGAATTTCAGACAGTAAGAAGTGGAAAGAAGACAAGGTCTGAAGTATTTTTTAATTATCAGACCTTCCCAACTTGATCTTCAGTCTTAAATCAATATCTTCAGATTTGTTTTAACAGTTCTATTAACTCCAGTCGCTCCCATTCAAGTAAACAACTGGTTGCAGATTCTGTGATTTACACCTATCTTTGCATCACATGGGCTGCTCTTTTGATTATAAATCAAACCACATTTTTCTTACTGTATTAACAAAGCCTCTTGGTCTATAAAAAAGAGCAGATGGGATGATTAACAGCAGCAGCTGTTACACCCTTGTCCAGGAAATTATATGCATACCGGAAATGAGTTTTAAATTTTACATGCTTCAGTTTCCCAATTCTTTAATGCCCCTCTTTGCCTCCAACAAAACAGAGTATGAAAATAAACTTAGTTAGATGTTACTGACATCATTTGATAGTTTTTAGTTAATCAAATCAATTACTAGTTTGATAAACTATATTGATCATTTTTAGGGTTAACTAATCTACCTTTCCTTGTGCAGTATTACATTTTGTGAGTTTTATGATTCTTAGAATTATAGTTTACAAAATGTTCAATTGTTGTAAGTGTTTTACAGGTACTCTAATTTAATCCTCATAATAATGGTGGAGGTGAAGTCTATTATTATTCACATTTTACAAATTAAGCACCTTCCCCTGGTTAAGCTAGCTAATATAAAGCTTAGATTTAAATCAGACTTCAAAGCCCACCTTCTTCATTACTTTATTCTTCGATGTAGTTTCTTAAGATACAGAAGTATCTCCTTACATTGGCTCATAACTAAAGCATTTATTGGAATATAACTGGTATATTTAATGACTACTTAACAAGAAATTCACACTTTAAATTGTGAAGAATCCTGGGGTGTTGGCTTCCTTAAGACCTTAGATTACCATTCGGGCAGGGAGCTCAAAAAATGGCTCAATTCCTCAACAACTCTTATTTTCCTAGCTCGAAATCTAAATAAAAATAATTATGCTTTCCACAGTAGAACAAGGTCATTCTCACCACCTCTGCTTCTCCTTAGCTGGAAATCAGACAGAAGGATTTTTACAGTACTACAAGAGAGCACTGATGGCTCTAAAATAATATGGTGGGACCCCCAAATCTCAATTATCTTGAACTTCTTTTGAGAATTCTAGAAAAAATAACTCCTTCCAGGTCCCGTTTTGGGAATAAACCATTTGTCTATGTGATCAATCAGTTTAAGTGCCAGACATTCTATTTTCAGTTATTCAATCTGAATATCTACCATTCCAGCAGTTATCAACAGTAGTTTTTCTTCTTTGCTTATGGGAGAATTACTAAAGATTTGTCTTAAATGGGTAAAGACTAAATTAGCAGCAAGTTATTATTTCTTAGAATAACAGACTTCATTAAACAGTCTGAGCTATTTATTAGCATCAGCGAATAAACTTTTTGAGATGGGATTATGATCTCAATTTCTGAATACAGTATAGGGAAAATTCTAATGAATGGTCACAGAAGTCATTTCCAAGAACAACTTTTTTCCCCCCTGAAATAGACAAATCTCACACTTTTCCAGACACATATTGTATAAAGAATTTAAGGCTGTTTTATTTAGGCACTCACATTCTGAGTAGTCACTATGAGGAAAAGCATTATCCAATATAGAATGAAGCATAAATTCACAAAATTAGCAATGAATAAGTTTTCAACCCGGAATGAATTGTACCAAGGTCGGTATTCTTATAAAACAGCCCAAAACATCTCTACTGGTTGCAGAACTAATTACAGGTCTCCACATTCCACATATAAAGATTTATTTTTTTCCAACACCCAATACTCATTGAAACCTGCATATTACTACGGGAAACACCATTTCTTCCTCCCTTTTGCTCTCACTGAGGTACTGAAGCACTTTTACATGCCTTTCAAAGAGCACTACGAAGTGATTTATCTGGCCCTTTAAATCAACCAACCTCTGACCGGGTTTTCCTAGAGATCAGAAGTCACCTCACCCTTACAATGAAGATCCAGGCAGGGCCTCTGGAAAATACTGTTAAGAGTTGAGCTAATCGAAAGTATTTGTGGGCGGGTCACTGCCCTGGGCCACTCCAGATAACATTATTCGTTCCAGAATCAGTAAGATCCGGCAAAGGAAAGTCTGCATCCTAGTCCCCTGTCGTGACCTACTAATGTAGCTGGGCAGGAAACCACTTGCAAATCGGCCCTGTTGGTTCATGGGGTCATCGCTCCGCAGGGCCAAGAGCCGGGCTCAGCGGTGCTTCGCTGTCAGAGACCTCGGGAAACCACCACACCTCCCGCTCATCACGGTCCGTCCCAGGGATGACTCTGTCCCGGCATCATCCAGGGCCCACGAGGGACGACTGCTGTCCCCGATGCGGGGTCGCCGGGCCCACCCGCCCGGCCTGGCCCCCCTCGCCAGGACTGTCCTCCCTTTCGGGCCGCCCGCCCACCGCCGCCCCGAGGACTGCGAACTCACGGTCGCCGCGGCGCCGGTGAAAATATCCTCGCCCTCGGTGTCACTGTCCTCAACCTCGGGATCCGAACCCCCGGCCGCCCCCTCGGACTCCGGCTCCAGGCCGGGGAAGGGCGGCGGGAGTCTCTCCGAGGCGCTACAGCCACCACCTCCCGACGCCATCTTCCTCCACCCGCGGCGGAAGCCGCAACAACAACTTTATAGAGAGAGCGCGCGGCGAGCAGGGCGTTCCAGGCCGGCGGGGCTGGGATGGCAGCCGCGGGGCCCCGGGAGCCGCGGGGCGGGGGCGCAGGGGCGGGGCCTGCGGGGGTGGGGCGGAGCGGCCAGCGGCTGCAGCCCCCAAATCCCAGTCCCGAAGGGCGACTCGGAGCTCTTTACCCAGGGGTCAGAGGGGGCAGAAAAGGAGGATCGAGCCTCGCTCAGGTTTTTAGGGCTCTGCATAGCTTTATTTTACAGGCTTCTTAAAGAGATGCACTTTGAATAAAGTAGTCTGAAACCTCTATATGCCACTTAGCATGCCAAGTACATGCCAAGTACACGTGCCCTCATAGATTCAATAAATATTTTTGAGGTCTCTGACCAGACTGCACTAAAGTTTCACCCTTTATCCTTTGGAATTTAGTGAAGTCATTCAATGAAGACATACTGACCACCCACTGTGTGCTTGCTATCCGGCCATACATTTGAAATATGCAAATAAAAAGGCCCACCGCAGCTGACACTCACTTCAGGCCTGACTTAGGAAGAAAGCTTTCACCCGGAGCGTCTCTCTTGGAGAAGTAACCTTGGAATCTCCAGCACACGCTCCTCCAACACTAGCAATCAAGATCTCCTTTCCCCAGGATTCATCTTTAGCTTATTGAAGGCGCTGAGAAAGGCAGCAGTGGCGAGTAACAGACCGTTACACACACACACACACACACACACACACACAGCGGACACTACGCGTCCCAGAATACAGCTCTGGTTTTGTTTTTTTAAAGATTTATTTATTTATGCACACAAGAACCAGGGTACAGGCCAGAGATGGGGGGAGAGGGGTTTGAGAGGATTCACCAGAGACAGAGTGGGGAACAGAACAGGCAGGCTGTCTGAAACACACTGCTGAGGGGAGCAGCAGGCGAGACAGGAGAGGTCTGCTGCGCCTTGTAGGTACCTCCCTGGCCGGGGATCGAACTCGTGCTGCGGTGGCTGCGGACAGCTTCATAGGTCGCGTCTCAACCCCTTGCGCCACCAGGAAGGCCCCACGGCTCTGCTTTTTGACGAAAACATCTCACACGCCCCAGCAAGCAACGCGCCTCACGAGCCACGAGCAATTTTTTCTCGCGTCCCGCCGAAACCGAGCAAAGCATGCTGGGGCTGGTAGTCCCCGCGGCTTCCTTCCCTAGGTCCTCCGCGCTGCTCCGCCCGGCCCCGCCTACTCTCTGCTACCCTGGACTTTTAGGCTAGACTTGGCCGGTTTGAAGACCAGGAAGTCGATAAATCGCGGTACCGGCTGCTGAGAGACGGTGGCTCGGGTGGGACAGTCGCCAGGGATGGCGGAGCGTGAGGATGGAGCGAGTGTCCGGGCTTCTCTCCTGGACGCTGAGCAGAGTCCTGTGGCTCTCGGGTTTCTTTGAGCGGGGAGCTGCCCGGCAGCCCCGGATCATGGAAGAGAAAGCGCTAGAGGTTTATGGTAATTAATTTTATTCAGGGCAGCATTTTACGCGGAGGCGGGGGTAATGAGGCCCTCACCTGAGGGCTGGGCGTGGAGACTGTGGTTTTCCCTGCTGTCTTCCGGCGCGTGGGAAGCGTTTCTCCGGGGGTCCTTGAATCTGGAGGCTATGTGACTCTTCTCTGGACTCGGGCTCTTCCTAAACTGTGGGGCGGGCTGAACCTGGAGATCTTAAAAGCTTCTTTCCGCTCGTCTGTCCTACGCCCTAGACTTCTGAGTACAGTACAGGTCGACTAGAGTGCTTGGTTAGGAAGCAAAACCGGCCTGTTTGCATTACTTAATTGAATTCTTCCTTCCTGTCCTTAGTTTCTACAAAAACACTCCTCTTGCCACAGGCACTGCTGGGTGACTGCCCAGTTGGGGACTGGCCCAAGGTCACAGCTACACTTCTGCTGCAGAAGCTATAGGCAGAGTCCCCCGAAAAAGGAGAATGAGAGAGGCTCCTCAATAGGCGTGTCTTAACCCAGTCAAATCTGGAGTGTTACACACACACACACACACACACACACACACACACAGAGCACAATATATATTGCACTGTGTGTGGGTATATATATATGCAGATATATGGAATATATGTGTATATATATATATATATATATATATAAAACATCTATATCATCTGTTTAACCCTTGGGACAGTTTTCATTGTACAGATGAGGAAACAGAGGTTTAGAATGGGTAAACTGCTTCCTGGAGTTCACACTGCCAGTACAGAATCAGCCACGACCAAAGCCCATGTCTTCTAATCCAATCTTAGTGCCCTTTCCACCACTTCACAATTGCCTTGTGATTCTCCTTTTTGAATTTAAGTAGTAGTATTTTGGAAAAAAACAAGTATACTGCCTCTGCCATTCAGAGATTCATGTCGACCAAGGGTAAAAAATCAAATGAGAATACAAACATAATTCAGTAAGGTTTATAGGCCAATAGAAGAAAGTCAGGGATGGAAAATGCCTTTGGAACTAATCCAGTTTATGTCTTTCTTGATGGAGCAGGACTTAATCCCAGCCAGATGATAATTATGAGTGGAATCATCTGCACTGGGCAGGTGGACACATTCCTCTCCTGTCAGAACTGTGTGCAGCATCTAGAGACAGCAGGCACCTGGGATACAGCTTTGGAAGAGTGATGATTCTTGTCCTTAAGCTTATTTTGAGGGAGACTTGCATATGTAAAAACATAATGTTTCTTACTATATATAGTAGTATATATAGTATATATAGTAGTATTCCATAACCTGGAATACAAGATACAGAAATTCAGAGGAAGGAGAGATACTAATCTTTAATTGTGGGATCTGGAAAGATTTTAAGAAGTGTAGGTAGTATATGGATATATCATGGGTAGTGGGCATACTCATCAGAGGAAAGTAGAGCAGAAGTATGGCAGTGAGAAAATAACATGTGTAGGGGAATGGCAGATAGGTGGGGCTAGAGAACAGGAGGGTCTGTGGTGAAAGGTGGAGGGGTCATCAAAAATTGTTTTGAACAGTAGGTTGGAATTGGACAGTGAAGCCTTAAGTATTAATGAAGACTTCAGTATTAGTTCAGAGCCATAGAAGACTTAGTAATAGGAGAGCAACATTACTTTCTTTTTTTCAAGAAATAAATCCAAATCTCACAAACCACTAAAAAACTAGAGAACTTTAATAAAGGGTAAGTTTTAAATCAGGGGTAAGTAGAAGTGAGCCTTACAGGGAGAAGATGTAGAATGAGGGGCAGCAAATTCCTTTTCAAAAAATCCTTGTTTCCTGGAGCTCCGAGATGACACAGTCTTCTGAAGAAGCTTTGTCCTCTTTTTCTTGCCTTAATTTTCAAATTCTTTTTTTTTAAAGATTTATTTATTTATTTATGCATACAAGAACTGGGGTGTAGGCCAGAGGTGCGGGGAGTGAGAGGATTCACCAGAGACAAAGTGGGGAATCAGAACAGGCGGATTGCCTGAAATACACAACTGAGGGGAGCAGTGGGGAGACAGGAGAGGTCTACTTTGCTGTGTGGGTTGCTCCCTAGCCTGCAGGAACTTGTGCTGCAGTGGCTGGTGAGAGCTTCACAGCACTGATCTTTAACCCCTGCAACACCAGGGAGGCCCAAATTTTCAAATTCTATTTGTAATTGAGTGATGAGCCTTAATTGTTGGGGGTAGAGGGGTGTAGGTAGAATTTGGTTGATTAGTTTTTCCCAGTTGCAGTTCTGATTACAGGGGTGCTATAAATATAAAACAAAACCTGAGGCTTGAGAAGATCATGCCCGTTTTATGTGAACTCTCTCAGTTTGTCTCGCTTTCTAACTCATCATTTCTCTTTATCACTCTCCTTCCATCTTTTTCTATAACCTCAGACTAAGAAGGAATTATTGTCCTCTCTAAAGCCAGCTCATATTCCCACACCCTGGGTCTCATTCCTTTGCTTATTTTACTAATCCCCTTACCTCCCCTTCTAATAATTTCTTCCATTTGATCCTTCCCTTTGTGTTATAAAACAGTCATTTCCCTTATTCTTGGCACTGTTCTAACTTCTTCTTAACGCTTGTCCTTCCTTTGCCCCCCACCCCTTCCTTGCCAAAGCTGTAGAACTACAGTTCCGATTCACTGCCTCTTTTGCAAGCTGGCTTCTGCTATCACCTCTTTACTGAAACCTGTTTGGTTTTTTTTTAGGTGACCTCCTGGGTGACAAGTCAAAGACATGTTTTAACTCTCACCAACCTGAATTTTTCTGCAGCATTTGATTTTGTTAACTACCCCTCTCTTGCCCTGCTTTTTGTTTTTCTTTCCCCTTCATTTTTTTTTAAAGATTTATTTATTTATGCATACAAGAACTGGGGTACAGGCCAGAGGTGTGGGGGGTGAGAGGATTTTCCAGAGACAGAGTGGGGAGCAGAACAGGCAGACTGACTGAAATACACTGCCGAGGGGGGCAGCGGGCTGGACAGGAGAGGTCTGCTGTGCCATGTGGGTAGCTCCCTGGCCATCCAGGGATCCAAGTTGTGCTGCAGTGCTGTACTCAACCCCTTCTGCCACCAGGGAGGCCCTTCTTTCCCCTTCTAATCCTTACAATAGGCACTTCTCATAATGCTATCCTTGGGTCCCTTTTGTCTTTACACTACTGATTCTCAAACTGGGTTGTATATAAGAGTAGCCTGAAAAAATTTTTTTTAAGTTCCAGTGCTCAGGTCATACTCCAAATCAGTTGAACTGGAAAATCTGGTGTGGGGCTCAGACATCACTTTTTTTAAAAGCATTCTTGGTAATCCCATTGTTCAGTGAAGGTTGAAAACTTCTGTTCTACTTACTGTTCATAACATTGTTGAATCTTACAGGTTCAACAATCATTCTCATCTTTGTACTCTCTTAAACTGTATGCAACAGTATTTGCTGTAATATTCCATTCGGTTGTCCCTGAAGCACCTCAAAATCCTTACATATAAAATTGACCTTATTTACCCTAGCCCCACCACATTGTCTTTTTATCTTGTCAGTATTCTTCTAAGCACTTACACTTAAAATCTGAGTCATCTTCCTTTCTTCTCTTTCCTTGTCTTCTATATCCAAACTTTTGTCAAATTCTGTTGGTTCTGCCTCTGGAATTCTTCATATATCCCTTCCCCTCTGTTACTATTGTCATATACCTGTTTTAGGCCTAGTTTTTCAGTAGGTATACCTGGCTCTGCTCTTTAGTTCTGAGTGTCAGGTGGTCCGTGAGTTATCAGCTGGCATTATAATGACGTGATGTCTCTTGCCTGTAGCTCACTGAAAAAAGCATTGGTAGTTTGACCCAAATCTTTATATCCTCTTTACTTATACTGGGTTCCAGGCAAACTAAACTTCTTTTTTTTTTTTTAAAGATTTATTTATTTATACAAACAGTGGGTACAGTCAGAAGCGCGGGAGGATGAGAGAATTCACCAGAGCCAGAGCAGGGAGCAGAGCAGGCAGCAGAGCAGGCAGAAGGACCGAAGTACACTGCTGAGGGGAGCAGTGGGCGGCAGGAGAGGTCTGTGCGCCATGTGGGATCCTCGCCCGACGGCCAGGAATGGAACCAGCGCTGCAGAGGCTGCGGGCAGCTTTGCAACCCAGCGCTCAACTGCTGTGCCACCAGGGAGGCACCAAACTAAACTTCTTGTTCTTTACTTTCCTTCACCTTCAATATCAAATATTGAAATATTTCCGCTTTTTAAAGACTTGATTCAGGTTCCTTTCCATAAATCCTGATGCCACTTTCTCTCAAGCTAAAAGTTATTTCATCCTCTTTAGCTTTCTCTTTTTCTTTTTTAAATTTTAATCCATGGAAATATTTCCAATTTCTAATTTTTTTTTGAGATTGAATTTACTTAAAAAAAATCAGTCACTTATATTACTATATACTTCTTTAGCTTTTTTTTCTTACAGATTTATTTTTATTTATGCATACAAGAACTGGGGTACAGGCCAGTGGTGGGGAGGGAGTGAGAGGATTCACCAGAGACAGAGTGGGGAGCAGAACAGGTAGATCTATTGAAATATACTGCTGAGGGGAGCAGCAGGCAAGATAGGAGAGGACTGCTGTGCCATGTGGGTTAGCTCCCTGGCAGGGGATCCAACTTTTGCTGCAGTGGCTGCCGATAGCTTGATAGCGCTGAGACATTAACCCCTGCACCACCAGGAAGGACCTACTTTATTAGCTTTTATAATGATTTTCCCATTATATTCTCTCTGCAGTGTGGGATCTAAGAAATTGAATATAATCTAATAATTGTCCAAGAAAAATTTTCTCCAAATGAAAACAATAGTAGAAATTTCTGTTAGAACCTGGGGAGTTGCTATAGTATTTACTTAAACAAAAAAGAGGTTAGCGTTTGGGATTAGAACTGGCAAAATCATCCTTATTTAGAATACCCAGGTTTTAACATAATTCCTTGTCTGATGATTTTGTAGATTTGATTCGAACTATCCGGGACCCAGAAAAGCCTAATACTTTAGAAGAACTGGAAGTGGTAACCGAAAGTTGCGTGAAGGTTCAGGAGATAAATGAAGACGACTATCTGGTTATTATCAGGTTCACACCAACAGTACCTCATTGCTCTTTGGCGACTCTTATTGGTAAGGTTTTATATATGTATATTTGTGTGTCTGTATGTTTTTGTGTGCATGTGTGTGTGTAAAATTTTCTTAACTATTCTAGCTAATATTAACCCAAATAATAATTAGCATCATGTATCACACTTCATGGTTTACAGAGTATTTTCATGTATTCGTCTTCTGTGGTCTACTAGAGAGTTGATATATTATTAATTTTACAGATGAGGCACCTGAGGCTTAGAGTTTAAGTGACTTTCTCAGAATCATATAGCCAGAAAGGAGTGAAGCTGAGGCTCAAGCCTAGGATCTCCTGACTCCATATGTGTTTCTCCTATAGTTAGGCCATGTTGGTTCTCTCTTTATTTTTTTAAATATTTATTTATTTTTGCATAAAAGAACTGAGGTGTAGGCCAGAGGTGTTGGTGGGTGAGAGGATTCACCAGAGACAGAATGGGGAGCAAAACGCTGCTAAGGGGAGCAGTGGGTGAAACAGGAGAGTTCTATTGCACCATGTGGGTTAACTCCCTGGCCAGGAATTGAACTCACACTGTGGTGGTGTTTATGCTGAGACTTAACCCCTAGGCCACCAGAGAGGCCCCATGCTGTGTCTGTTAAGTGTACATGCCAACAATTACTGGGGAGTGAGTGTGGATCTGTTCCTCCTTCCAACTCTGGAGATTGAAGTGAGTGCTTCTGACTAGCACTGCCTTCATCACCATCTTCTCCCTTTAGCTGCTGTACTGGCTTCCATGTAGAAGACCTGGTAGAAGGGTTTTTTTGGAGGTAGTTTTCTATTTGGGAGGCTGCATTCCCAAAATTTTGGATTAGTTGGCAGTAAGATATAAAATAGGTGGGCCTCCCTGGTGGCGCAAGCACTGGGTTGTCAGGCTGCCTGCAGCCTCTCCAGTGCCGGTTCGATCCCTGGCTGCTGGACGAGGGTCCCACATGGCGCGCAGACCTCTCCTGCTGCCCACTGCTCCCCTCAGCAGTGTACTTCTTCACTCTGCCTGTTCTACTCTCCACTCTGGCTCTGGTGAATTTTCACCCTCCTGAGTTTCTGACTGTACCCAGTGCTCGTATAAATTAAAAAAAAAATTAAATAAATAAATAAATATATAAATAATAAAAAAGATATAAAATAGGTGTCTTTAACTATATATATTGTTTTAAGGAAGATAAAGAGAGTTTATTTCAGACCACATTCATCAGTAAGGGATTGCATAATCAAGGATGGTGTATATGGGGTGAAGCTGAACTTTAGATGAGCTTTTAGGGAATTAACTCTGTTTTTACCTTGCAGGCATAGAGGGTTCCAAATTTGAGAGGCTTTTGTGGTCCTTTTTAAGTTGCTTCTATATGCTCCTGCTTAGTTTAAAATTTTTTGCATGGCCTGACATGTTGCAAGCATTCAATAAAATTTAATGAGTAAGTTGAATGTTGCTTGAAGGTAAATTGATGTACTAGAAAGGATCTTGGCTCTGCAGTGGTCTTTGGTTCAATCCAGCTCTTTCTTTCTACTGTCTACTAACTCAATGACCTTGGGCAAGTTACATTGTGACTCAGGTTCATAATTTGTAGAAGAGGATTGGTAATACCTTTTCACTGAATTATGGCGAGCAATGTGTTAGTTGATATATTAAAATTGCTAGCATGGTCCCAGATTCAAAGGCTCTACATTGGATTGAGCTAAAAATGATTTCAGATACCATATTATATGGGGCCACCTCCACACTTGAAAAAACTGTATGCTTTTTCAAGAAACAATAAGAAGAGATAATTACTTGGGACTCTTTTCCTTTCAGGGCTGTGCTTAAGAGTAAAACTTCAGCGATGTTTACCATTTAAACATAAGGTAAGGAAAATGTGTTTTGTTGTTTTATAATAGCTTTACTGAGATTTAATTCACATATATACAACTCACCTATTACAAGTGTACAGTTTAATGGTTTTTTAGTGAATTCCCAGTGTTGTGCAGCCACCACTACTATCAATTTTGGAATATTTTCAATACTCCAGTAAGAAATCCTAGTAGGGCCTCCCCTGGTGGCGCAGTCGGTTGAGCACAGCGCTGTGAAGCTGTCCGCAGCCTCTGCAGTGCTGGTTCGAACCTGGCCTGCTGGCGAGGGTCCCACATGGCATGGCAGACCTCTCCTGCCTGCTGCTCCCCTCAGCGGTGTGTTTCAGTCAGTCTGCCTGTTCTGTTCCCTGCTCTGTGTCTGGTGAATCCTCTCACCCTCCTGCGCATCTGGCCTGTACCCTAGTTCTTGTGTAAATAAGTAAATAAAAATCTTTAAAAAAACAAAAAAAGAAATCCCAGTTAACAGTTGATTGCCATTTTCCCCCAACTCTTTTGTATCCCTAGGCAACCAATGATCTACTTTTTTGTTTTTGTTTTTATTTATTTATTTATTTATTTATTTATTTTTAATAGAGGCATGTTTTTATTTATTTAGTTAGTTAGTTTTTTTGTTTGTTTGTTTGTTTATACATGCACTGGGTACAGTCAGAAGCGCAGGAGGGTGAGAGAATTCACCAGAGCCAGAGCGGGGAGCAGAGCAGGCAAAAGGACCGAAGTACACTGCTGAGGGGAGCAGCGGGCGGCAGGAGAGGTCTGCGCGCCATGTGGGACCCGCCTCCAGTGGCCGGGGAGCAGCCGGGGATCGAACCAGCGCCGCAGAGGCCGCGGGCAGCTTCGCAACCCAGCGCTCAACAGCTGCGCCACCGGGGAGGCCCTTTGTTTTTGTTTTTAAATATCTTTGTTCGGGCCTCCCCTGGTGGCGCAGCAGTTGAGCACTGGGCTAAGAGGCTGCGGGCGCCGGTTTGTTTCCCAGCTGCCGGTGAGGGTCCCACAAAAATAAAATAAAATAAATAAAAAATAAACATTTTTGTTTATTTTTTCCACAATATAAGATGTCTTCCCTCAGGTGGGGTCAACATAGTTTTTCCACCACCAAAGTACCTACAGTCCTCCACCTTATTCCACCTTATTTTCTCCCCTCTCTATTCTCCCCCTCGCCCTCCTCCACCATCCCTCCTGAGTGTCTCAAATCTATGGCCTGCTTTCCAGGGTCAGTCTTACAGTTTGTCTTTGTCTGATCTTTTGTTTAGTTTCTTGAGATTCCATATATAAGTGAAACCATCCAGTATTTATCTTTCTTATTCTGACTCACTTTGCTTAGAATAATCCCTTCTAGTTCCATCCATATTGCCACAGATGGCATGAGTTTACCTTTTTTGATTACTGAGTAGTATTCTACTGTGCATATGTACCATAGCTTCTTGATCCAATATAGAATTTCTCCCCTTAGGTGCAGTCACCATAGTTTTCCCACCACCAAAGTACCTACAGTGTTCCATCTGTTCTGCGGCATTTAGGTTGTTTCCACATCTTGTCTATTGTAAATGGAATTGCTATAAATATAGGAGTGTAGGGTTCCTTTTGAATTAGTATTTTTGTGCTCTTTGGATTGATCTATTTTTTTTATCTATAGACCTATTGTGGATGTTTGATTTAGCTGGAATTACATAATTTGTGGTCTTTTAAGACTGACTTCTTTCACTTAGAATAGTATCTTTAGGGTTCATCCATGTTGTAGTATATATCAGTATTCCTTTTTTTGTTGTTGTCTTATACTATTCTCATGCATAATTTTCAACTAAAGTAAATGAGTATAGAATGACTTTTTTAGAGATTTTTTTTTTATTGTTTCCCTGTCAGATATAGAAAAGACTGCTATGTCCAAGTGCATACTTCTTTCTTTCTTTATTTTTAATATATTTTTATATCGTTCATTTTTAAACAATGTTTGCTTACTTCCCCTCTTCAGGTGTAGTCCCCAGAGAATTTCCTTCCCCAATGCACCTGTGCACCATCACCTCAGTCCCCTATGCTCCTCCCTCCCTCCCTCTGATCCCTCCTGCCTCCTCCTCCCCTATAGGATGTGTCTGATTTATAATTGTCTGGTTTTTGTTGTTGTGTTTTATGTTGTTATTATTTTTCCCCCTGATGTCTTATTTGGTTCCCCTATATTCCTGCTATAAGTGAAACCATTTGATATTTTTCTTCTTCTTTCTGACTTATTTTACTGAGTATAATTCCTTCTAGCTCCATCCATGTTGCTGTGAATGGCATGAGTTTATTAAAGATATTTTTTTAAAGATTAATTTTTTTATTTATCCATACAAGAGCTGCGGTGTAGGTCAGAGGTGTGGGGGTGAGAGGATTCACCAGAGGCAGACTAGGGAGCAGAACAGGCAGAGCTATTGAAATACACTGCTGAGGGGAGCAGCAGTCGAGACAGGAAAGGTCTGCTGTACCATGTGGGGTTAGCTCCCTGGCCATGGATTGAACTCATGCTGTCATAGCTTGATAGTGCTGAGACTGAACCCGTTGTACCACCAGGGAGGCCCAGTATAGGATGATTTTATACTTGTTACTTTGTTGTCTTATAATAAGGGCTAGTGTTATGCTGCCAGGAAAATTTATGTGGTGTTTCATCTTTTAAAAAAGATTGCATTAGATGATCTCTAAGGTCTCTTACCCATAATAGGGTAAGATTTTTTTTTTTAACCACATTAAAAACGTATATCTCAGTAGTTGGATTTAGTTCATGTTTTAGTGTTCTTGGGAGAGTAGACATATCTTTATAGTATATGTCTATATAAATACATATATAAATAAAGCATATAGCATGCTTTATTTGCCATAGGATTTGTAGTAATTTGTGGACTTGTCTCAAAAGCTTTCTTTCCTGGAGGTTAGCTAATTTGAAGGAAATTAGCTAATTTGAAGGAAATTTGAAGGAGGTTAGCTAATTTGAAGGAGGTTAGCTAATTTGCAGGAAAACTAGGAGGGATAAATGTAGCCTGGCAATACTGCATGAGAAAAGAATGATGCTATATATATTGATTCCATTTTGTGAAATAAGAAACTTCCAACCTTGGGGGGGTGTGTGTATATAAAAAAGTCTGAATTAGATTATATAAGTATGAAAAATGTGTAGAAGAAGTGTTATATAAGTATGAAAAATGTATAGAAGAAGTGGGCCTCCCTGGTGGTGCAGGTGGTTGAGCGCAGCGCTGTGAAGCTGTCCACAGCCTCTGCAGTGCGGGTTCTATCCCGGCCGGCCAGGGAGATACCCACCTCGGCAGACCTCTCCTGTCTCGCCCGCTGCTCCCCTCAGCAGTGTATTTCAGTCAGGCTGCCTGTTCGGTTCCCTGCTCTGTCTCTGGTGAATCCTCTCACCCTCCCGCACATCTGGCTTGTACCCTGGTTCTTGTATAAATAAATAAATCTTTAGGGCCTCCCTGGTGGCGCAAGGGGTTAAGCACAGTTCTATAAAGTTATCATCAGCCACGTCAGCACGAATTCGATCCCCAGCCTGCCAGGAAGCTACCCACATGGTGCAGCAGACCTCTCCTGTCTTGCCCACTGCTCCCCTCAGCAGTCTATTTCAGTATATCTGCCTGTTCTGCTCCCTACTCTGTCCCTGGTGAATCTTCTCACCCCCACACCTCTGGCCTGTACCCCAGTTCTTGTATAGAAGAATTACACTAGATTATTAATACAGCTTTCTTGGGACATGGGGCAGGGAGGAAGTTTAAATACTTTTGATACTGATTTAAGAGAAAGAGGTAGAGTGCAGGGAAGAGATATCCATGAGTAAAATAAATATAATCTGGGCCTCCCTGGTGGCCCAGGGGTTAAGTCTCAGCACTACTACCATGAAGGCCCACTGTGACTGCCTGAGATTAATCCCAGCTTGAAGCTAACCCACATATGGTACGCAGACCTCTCCTGTCTTACCCACTGCTCCTCTTAGCAGTGTGTGTCATTAAATCCACCTGTTCTGCTCCCCACTCTGTTTCTGGTGAATCCTTTCACCACCCCACTCCAAACTTCTGGCCTATATCCCAGTTCTTTTATGCAAAAATAAATAAATAAATAAATAAAAATCTTTAAAATATATATATATAATCTCATTTGTTTAAAACTGTATTTGTATTCATAAAAAAAATATTTAATGTGAATACCTTTTGTAGACCTTGCCCATTGGCCAAAATTTAAAAATCCTGCTAATTTCAGTCCTTGTTTTAGAAAAACTTGTCCCTAAATAGGATTTGGGCTTTTATCCCTCAACTCTTGAGTTCACTTTACATTCTTCTTCACTTATCATTTAATAAATATTTTGCTGTTAATATTTTTCTTCCAGTTGGAAATCTACATTTCTGAAGGAACCCATTCAACAGAGGAAGACAGTAAGTGAACCTTGAATTATTATTAAAACACAACTTCAGGTAGTACTTTATTTTGGATACCAGGTTATTCTGCTAGCCAAGTATTTACTAGGTTGTTTGCAAAGAAGCATAAAAGTAGTTACTAGTTAGTTCTTGAGGTATAGAAATAGAGGTATTTCATGGGAGTAATTTTGTCATTGGAACTTCACGTGAACTAGAGCTAGGCCCTAAGGTTATTAACTAGTCGAGGCCAGTGGCTCTATTATCTATAAAGAATATCTAATCCCACGGATCTTGACTTTTAAGCTCTAAAGAGGGTTTGCTTCTTTTGTGGCAGGATAGAGGGCTGTATACTTGAAATTGAGGTCTAGCAAGTAAGGCTTTAGGGTATCTTGGGGGTAAATATTGTCTCTGTGGGTTAATGTACAAGAAAGGGAGTGGGAGATCTTCTTTATAGTGAGGATCTTTGGCTACAGAGAGAAATCAATCAGTAACCACTTAATAGCAGAGCTGGGGTTTGGGGAAAGCACAAAACAAAATGTTCTACATAGTATTACATTAAAAATAACAGAATTTTATCTATAAATGATAAGAGTACAAATGAGAAATACATTTAAAATGCATATTGTACTTAGCTTTCTTCTCTGGGTAAATTGAGAGGTCAGAAAGCGAGTAGAGGAGAGGAAGAAAGAGTCAGTAATAGAATAAGAGCAACAATAAGAAACACAGAGAAAGACCAGACTCAGAAAGGCATACACAGTAAGAGTTGCAGAGGGGGAAGCTACTGCTTTCAGTGGAAAAGCCCATCCAGGAAGCTCTTTTGGTACTGTCACAGAAACTTAAAACCATCTCCTATTTTCACAGTTCCAGACATCATATAGATTATTTTATTCCTCATCGGCTCAATTTATTCAAATCCCATATGCTAATGATTTCTGTCTCATAATTTAAAGAATAAAAGAATAAAAATAATATCCACATAGGATATTCTTTTGAAATTCCTCTTAATTATAGGATTAACTAACAGCAATGGTATTAAGCCTTGTGATTCTGGGTTTTACATTTAGTAAGTATTTATTGAGTACCTCCTATATGTGGGCACAATTCTACTTTTGAGATATATCTCTTCCCTCATAGAAGAAACAATGAATTGAAATCATTCAAAAGGAGACATTTTAGCAGCATCCCAGAAATGTTAGCCCACATTAAGAATATGGACATTTCTTGAATTCTGTCATCAAGAGTGCTTTTTGCAAATTATAGACAGCAGATAATAGGACAAGCTTTATTATATGAAGGACAGTGCAATCTGTTTTCAAATAAAAAGACCCAATAATTTAATAGAAAGAGACATGAACAGAAAATTCACCAAGAATTAATAAAGATGAGAGAATGTTCTCACAATTAGTGAAGGAATTGTAAATTACAATAACATGAAGCCGTTTTTCACCTCCTGTTATAGATGTGTGAGTGTTTTTATTAACAATGCCAAATATTTCTAGTAACCCGAAAGCTCCGGTATTGCTGTTGGCAATATGAAGTGGTAAATAATATTGAGAAACAAAATGATATGAATCAAACCATAAAAATAAGGTTGTATGTTTAAAGGTACTTATTCTAGCATAGTCTTCAAAATTAATTTAGTATGCTTGTAATGTTCACTGTGCTAAATAATTCTGAAGTTTAAAAAATGGAAGTATAGGGAATAAAACTATGAATAAAACTATATGGAAATATATATGTATATATAGATATATATAGGCAAAAACTACAAAGAAAATTACAAATAGTTGTGGTAGAATAGTAAGATTATAGGGCATACTTTCCTTTTAAGTCTCCCAGAACTTATGAATCGCCATAACCAGGTTTTAGTTCTCAAGGAGTTAATTCTCTGTATTAACATACTGATAAAAATATTGTGTGGGACTACATGTTGACACAGTTCTGCTAATGTTTGCTGTGTGTTTTGCAGTCAACAAGCAGATAAATGACAAGGAGCGAGTGGCAGCTGCAATGGAGAACCCCAACTTACGGGAAATCGTGGAACAGTGTGTCCTTGAACCTGACTAATAGCTGTTTTAAGAGCCACTGAACTATTGTTTAATGTATGTGTTTAAACTCTTTGTAAAATGCAAAAGACTCATGTTTAATATGTAGTTGATTTGTACCTCAAAGCATTTTTTTAAAGGATTATTTCCAACAAGATTTAACAATAAGGCAGTACCTAGTTTGTTTAGTATATAACATTCTCAGGATTTGTAACACTTAAATGAGCAGACAGAAAAATATTTTCTACTTATTATGTGTAAGATGAGTTGCTATTTTTCTGAGGTCCATACTGATACAACTACTTCTCGTGTCAAATAGTTACTGTGCCCAAATGTATTCAGTTTAAATCATTGCTCTATAAAATAAATAAAGAGATGATTCTTATAATGATGCATCTTAGAATTTGTTCGTTGAATTGTAATTTTCAGTGTAAATGTAGGTTCAAAGATATTTCCTTTTTTTTTTTTTTTTTTTTTTGCTGATAATTAAGTATAAATAGAGATCTAAGCACCAAAAGGAACTCTTTAGATCAGACCTAGACCATGTCTTCCTCAAGGAGAGTCCTGGATCCATTCATAGATGTGAAACAAATGTGGAGAGGATCAGCTATCTTAATGTAATTCCAAAGATCCAGAAATCCTCCAAAGAGTTTTAATTAGACTGCTCTAAACGTATGGGCTCTTGCACTTCATTCCGTTTGTTTGGTCATTTAAAATTTAACAGGGTGAGGGCCTCCCTGGTGGTGCAGCGGGTTGAGTGTAGCACTGTGAAGCTGTCCGCAGCCTCTGCAGCATGGGTTCGAGTCCCAGCCAGCCACATGGCGCAGCAGACCTTTCCTTCTTGCCTGCTGCTCCCCTCAGTAGTGCTTTCGTTCCGTCTGCCTAATCTGCTCCCCGCTCTGTCTCATGGTGAATCCTCTCACCCTCCTGCACCTCTGGCCTGTACCCCAGCTCTTGTATAAATTAAATAAAAATCTTTAAAAAAAAATAAATTTAACAGGGTGGTAGACAGCCTCCAAGATAAACCACCAGTGAGCCTTACTTCCTGGTATTCATGCCCTTGTATAGTTTTCTTCCATACTGAAGCAGGGCTGGTTGGTATAATTAATAAAGAATGGCAGAGGTGATAAGAGTATGACTTCTAAGGTGTTGCAGCTTTCACCTTGAACCTCTCAGGTTACACATTCTATGGGATTTTAGCAGCCATGTTATGAGAGCACACAAGTAGTCCTGTGAAGAATTCCACACGGAGAGGAACTGAGGCCTCCCACCAACAACCAACATCAATGTCAGGCTGACATCTTGACTAGAGCCTCACAAGACCCTGAGCCAGAACTACCTAGCTAAGCCACTCCTGAATTCCTGACTGAGAAGCTGTGAGTAATAAATGTTTTTTGCTTACACACTAAGTTTTGGAGTAAGTTGATAGGCAACAGTAAGTAACTAACATACAAGTTATTAGAATGGAGTGCTCCTGACTCTATTTTTTAATTTTTTTAAAAAAAGATTTATTTATTTATACATACAAAAACTGGGGTATAGGCCAGAGGTGTAGGGAGGTGAGAGGATTCACCAGAGACAGAGTGGGGAACAGAATAAGCAGATTGACTGAAATACACTGCTGAGGGGAGCAGCAGGCGAGATAGGAGAGGTCTGCTGTGCTATGTCGGTCACCTCCCTGGCTGGGGATTGAACTTGTGCTGCAGTGTCTGCAGATTGCTTCATAGCGCTGTTTCTTAACCCCTTGAGCCATGAGGGAGGCCCCCTCTCCTAACTTAAATTTAATTGATACTAAGGGAAAAACAGGAGAACTTGTTCCATGTCTTTTTTTTTTTTTAAAGGAGAACTCTTGTTTTTTTTTTTTGTTTGTTTATTTATTTATACAAGCACTGGGTACAGTCAGAACCGCGGGAGGGTGAGAGAATTCATCAGAGCCAGAGCGGGGAGCAGAGTAGGCAGAAGGACCAAAGTACACCACTGAGGGGAGCAGCAGGCGGCAGGAGAGGTCTGCGCGCCATGTGGGACCCTCCTCCAGTGGCCGGGGAGCAGCTGGGGATCGAACCAGCGCTGCAGAGGCTGCGGGCAGCTTTGCAACCCAGCACTCAACCGCTGCACCACCAGGCCCGTTCCATGTCTTGTAAACCTTTTTACCCTCTTTAGTAATACAAGTTTTGAGACCAGAGAGAGGTTTGGTAAGAACATTGATGAAGAAATAATTTATGGTGAAGTTGTTGCTGTGCTGCGTTCCAACCCTCATTTTGACACCTTCTACCACCATCTGCTGAGGGGAATTTTTTTTTTTTTTATTAAATAATAAATTTTATTTTTATATTCCCCCATACAATTGCAAACGCCCCATTCTGACCCCAATCCTTCCCCCCCCACCCCCCACCCCCCAAAAAGTGTCTCTGGTTCATAGTTTTTTGTTGATTTTGATTTTCACTTTCTTATATTCATTTTCCTGGTCCCTTATTTAAGTTTTCTAGATTCCTGCTATGAGTGAGACCATCCGGTATTTTTCTTTTTCTTTTTGGCTTATTTCGCTGAGCATGATCCTGCTGAGGGGAATTTTAAGGGAAGGGCTCAGAGTTTGGAAATGGGTTCTCTCTAGTCGGGTGACCTAAAAAACTGATACCTGACTTGTCCCTGGGAAAGAAAAGAAGTGGGCTAAAGACTGGGGTCTCCTGCCTAGGAAGTTGAGGTTGAGTGAAAGGCAAGACTAACTACTTTGATGACAGAGCCTTCATGGCAAGGGATCCATGAATGTTTTTGTGGACCCTGCTATGTGCAACCATATTTGACATTATTCAACAGGCCATCTGCAGAGCCAAGGAAACAGCAGAAAGGGTCTGGACCTGTACTACCTGAGGCCTGGGGACTGAGGAGAGATGACAGCAAATGGAGATGCATCTGCCAGGGTAAATGGTGCAACAGGAACCTGGTAAGCTTATGAAAATTTCCACCCAAGAGAAAGAGCCAGCTCCAATCACCAGGCAGGCCCAGTGAGCACAAAGCCAACAAGTTAAGTAAGAACTGTCCCATCTCTCCCTCCTCCTTCCCTCAAGGTTTTTTTTTTTTTTTAAAGATTTATTTATTTATGCATACAAAAACTGGGGTACAGGCCAGATGTGTGAAGGGTGAGAGGATTCACCAGAATCAGAGTGGGGAACAGAACAGGCAGACTGATTGAAATACACTGCTGAGGGGAGCAGTGGGCGAGTCAGGAGAGGTCTGCTGCGCCATGTGGGCAGCTCACTGGCTGGGATTCGAACTTGTGCTGCAGAGGCTGCGGACAGCTTCATAGGTTGCGTCTTAAACTCTTGCGCCACCAGGGAGGCCCCATTCCTTCCCTCAACTTCTTTTTTTGTTTGTTTTTTTTTTAAGGATTTTTTTTTTTTTTAAGATTTATTTCTACAAGCACTGGGTACAGTCAGAAGTGCAGGAGGGTGAGAGAATTCACCAGAGCCAGAGCGGGAACAGAATAGGCAGACTGACGAAACACACTGCTGAGGGGAGCAGCGGGCGTGGCAGGAGAGGTCTGCGCGCCATGTGGGACCCTCACCAGCAGCCGGGGATCGAGCTGGCCCGCTGCAGAGGCTGTGGGCAGCTTCGCAGCCCAGCACGCAACCACTGCGCCACCAGGGGAGGCCCCTCCTTCCCTCAACTTCTAAAGCAGTAGAATAACTAGCAAGTAGGGTAGTTGAAAGGAGAAAAAAGGAGAGAACAAAAACTCTTTCCTAAATCTCTATTGTAGGTTTCAAGCCTGAAGCAAGCTTAAGGTAGCAAACTAGTTAATGCCAAATTTGTAGTTTTGACTATTAGATGTGACTAAATACACAATGAGATTTGTGTGATTAAAAGTAACAGGATTCATAGGTCTGCCCAAACCCTCACTCATGGGCAGAGGAAGATCATGCCTTCTCAACAAAGTTTCAAAGGTTAATAGGGGACAAAAATAAACATACAACACTGGTTATGGAAGTCCTGTTTCAACCATCTTGGCTTCTGCCAAAGCTCTGCAACTGTGGGACTGTCTCAGCATAGCTTGATCCCTGTATTCTTTTCTCTGGAGATTGTTAAAAATACAGGGCTTCCCTCGTGGTGCAGAGGTTAAAGTCTCAGCACTATCAAGCTATCACCAGCCACTCCGGCATGAGTTCGATCACTGGCCAGGGAGCTAGCTTACATGGCGCAGCAGACCTCTCCTGTCTAACCTGTTGCCCACCTCTGTAGTGTATTTCAGTAGATTTGCCTGTTGTCCTCCCATTCTGTCTCAGGTGAATCCTCTCACCCTCCTCCACTCCCCCCCACTCCCCATACCTCTGGCCTACACACCAGTTCTTTTTTTTTTTTTTTTTTTTTTTACATTTTATTTATTTATTTATTTTTTAAATATTAAATTTTATTTTTATATTCCCCCATACAATTGCAAACGCCCCATTCTGACCCCAATCCTTCCCCTCCCACCCCCCACCCCCCAAAAAGTGTCTCTGGTTCATAGTTTTTTGTTGATTTTGATTTTCACTTTCTTATATTCATTTTCCTGGTCCCTTATTTAAGTTTTCTAGATTCCTGCTATGAGTGAGACCATCCGGTATTTTTCTTTTTCTTTTTGGCTTATTTCACTGAGCATGATCCCTTCCAGTGCCATCCATGTTGCTGCAAATTGCATGTGTTTATCTTTTTTGAATGCTGAGTAATATTCCATGGTATATATGGACCACATCTTCTTGATCCAGTCATCTATTTTTGGGCATTTGGGTTGTTTCCAAAGCTTAGCTATTGTAAACAGTGCTGCTATAAACATAGGAGTGCAGGTGCTCTTTGGAATTGATGTTTCTGTGTCCTTTGGGTAAATACCTAGGAGTGGAATTGCTGGATCATATGGAAGCTCTATGTTTAGTAGGTCCAGAAATCTCCACACAGCTCTCCATAGTGGTTGGACCAGTTTGCACTCCCACCAACAGTGCACAAGAGTTCCTTTTTCTCCACATCCTCGCCAACATTTGTTGTTGCTAGTTTTTTTAATATGTACACACCAGTTCTTGTATGCATAAATAAATAAGCATTTTATTAAAAAAAATTTTTTTAAAGATTTATTTATTTGTGCATACAAGAGCTGGGATACAGGCCAGATGTGTGTGTGTTTGGGGCGGGGGGGGGTGGTGGTGGTGAGAGGATTTACCAGAGACAGAGTGGGGAACAGAACAGTCAGATAGACTGAAATACACTGCTGAGGGGAGCAGTGGGCGAGTCAGGAGAAATCTGCTGCACCATGTATGTGGGTCAGCTCCCTGTCCAGGGATTGAACTCGTGCTGCAGTGGCTGCGGACAGTTTCATAGTGCTGATGCTTAACCTCTTGTGCCACCAGGGAGGGTCCCAATAAA